TAATTGATCAGAGAAAAAAATGAGAAGTATATTGCCAAAATCTCAATCAAAACTGAAACATTTGAAAAAAAACCCAGGTGGCTAAACAAAAGAAGGTTAATACTATAACCTTGCATCAAAAATGACCAAAATAAAAACTTAACTCAACGAGAAACAAGACGAATTTGGCAAGCTTGAAGACTACACATCTGGATAAGACACCGAGTTTCAAGGTCTTGAACAAGTTTCTAAGAGTTACAAACAGTCGAAGGACACGTACATGATTAAGTTGACTTTGTTCTTAAAGTCTACTGTTTTTCTTTTCCGTATATGAGACGCCTGTCATCAATCACCCGCGGCAACACATTAAATATATGCTGGTGCGTTTTTTGACTCATCAAACAGAACAACGCTGTGTGGACTTTTTTGACCACCTTCTTCAATTGTTTACCATTATCGTAATTAAGGGTAAATTTACAAAAAAAAACAGATGAAGGACCCAATCGGTCGCTTGTCTGATTCAAGACAACTTCTGCTTCTCAGAATGGCCTCAGAGACCGCAGTCACAGCCTCGTCCTGCCTTACAATTCTCTTGTGCGGCTCGTCACCAAGTTTCAGGAGTCTTGTCTTCTCGCTCTGTGTCATTCTGCTTACTAAAATGCTTGTCCGTTTTCTCACCACATCTTCAATCAGCTGTGGGGTCACTTGCGACGACAGCACTGATGTCTCTTTTGTCTGGTTCTTCAATTCTTTGAGTCGCTTCTCTGCTTCTGGAATAGCATAATACTTTGAGTCTGTGGCAAGCTCAAGATCCCTTGTGGTCTGCTTCAGCTCCCTCGAGTGCGATCTTCTCGACTGTCAGTTATGTGTCTTTTCTTTCCAAATGGTCGATCTTTTCTGGCTGCGAGTTTTTCTGTGTACGTGTTACACCCTACTAAATCGATTGCATTAATGTCATTTTTTGACAGCTGTAACAAGAGCCGAGTCAGTGAATTTCAGTCCATTGTGGCTCTTATACTTTTAAATGATGCCTCTCACGCTGTACAAAGTGTCCTCTGAGCTTAGTGACGTAGACTTGTTGAAATTGTCTCTCAAATACAGCGTCTTTCTCAACACACTTTCTGCATTTTTAAGTGTTGTCGCTCCAATGCACCAAAACTCCAATTTTATATTATTTAGTTAACTTACTAATATTACTATTATTATTATTTTATATCAACACACATGTTATAATATAAAAATAATTACGAAACTACCAAATTACCACTTCTTATAATTAAAGAGTGGGAAGAGTTGTTGATTCTGAAGCGCTATCATGATGCACACACCTGCGTGTTTGTATACATCAGGCATTGACGACATAATTAGCGCCAGTGATTTAGTCTACAGCTTCTCCCCATAGTAGGCTTGCTTCACCAGCTTCTTTTCCTCCAATATTCCACTTTGAAAAATAGAAGTATGAGTCTTGTGGATGTCTTGCAATGCCATATTCAAGTTTGATGTTGAACTTTCTGATGTTATTAAAGTGTTTTTTATCTTTATTTGATCAGTTACAATGTCACTGAACGCCATAGTTGCAGTCGATGTGTCGATGATCACTTTTTGTTGTCCTGCCAAATGACTTGGACAAAGTATCCTTTTCTCTTCATTCCAGAACAATTTCTCAAATAAAGTTGAAAGGTCCTGCCTTCTCTTTCTCAGTAATTCGGCTCTTTTAGTATATTTATAATATTTCTCTTCCATAGCAGCCGCTAACAATCTGTGGTGGCCATGAATTTGTGTGAATCCATAGTACCGCAGTGGGACACTTAAGGAAGTCCATGCGTCGCTGCTTAAATCGAATAGTCTGGCTTAATAATATTTTTCCAATCTCAATACAACAAGAAATTCACCAAATTTCTAATTCGTTGTTTGTTGTTTCGTCCTTGATTAATCCAATTGCTTGTGTCATTTGTCTGTAGTAGTAATACAAACACAAAGCAACATAACGAAATCACGCTGTGGCTCAACAAACCCCACATATGTCCCATCTTACCAGCTGTATGTCATTGCGAAGAATTCACTGTCTCGAAGCTCCGCTTTTGCAAGCCATTTCAAGAACTTTTCTGTCACTACAAAACTCCGTTTTCGTATTCAAAACATCCGTTTCATCGAGGTGTATTGTAATAATTACGGACAACAATTTTAAAAGTATTTTTAATTTTAGTTTTTTGGTTTCGTTTTTGAAATATAACAATAAATATTATAATTTAAAACATGCCAGATTTTTTCAACTGACTTGTTTTTATTTTACTTTTATATAATATTCTTTAACATTTCATTAATAAAATCAATAATTATTATTATAATTGTTAATTTTAAATTATTTAATTGTGATCTATATTAAAACACATCAACAAACATACTGACTGACAGTTTTCAATTAAACAAAATACTCATAAATATAGTAAATATATGATTTAATAATAGCTTTGATAAAATTTACAATAAGATTAACAATAGAATGAAGATAATTGCAGTAGTTTTGTTTCAAACACTCTGTTTATGCATCAATGATGAACAGAGTAGTTTCAATTGTTTTCCTACGAATAATAACTCTTCTGTTCTATCAAAGTATTGCACGTTTATAAAACAACCTAAATTTTTCAACAACACCAAATATTGTGATTCAATGTTTTGTTATAGTCCATTTTATTACATTTAAATTAATTTGGTATATTAAACCACTATTTGATGTTTGAAAGTTATGAAAAGCAACAATAAATCAAATTTAACAAGTAATCGCAAGGTGACAGCTCTGTTCTGGTTGATTTCATTTAACTATGTTAAGAGAAGTATAATTAATAACAAATTTTATTCTGATAAATTAAATTATTATTTCATCGTTATTAAACAATTTCTAATATTTTATAATTGTATCAATTATAATTAATAATTTTATTTTGTATATAGTATAAATATTATATTAATAAGCCATTTAGATGAGTTTT